CTGAAATCCCTCAACTCCGCTCTGAAGGAGATCCATCGTGCGACGTGGCGATCTCAAACTGACAACGGCTATGTCGTGCAGGTGTGTGGGCAGTTGACGCCGAGGTCCGGCCACAATCCGAACCCACAAGCCGTTGCGAAACTGGCTCAGCGGGCGAGCAGCCCAGCATGCAAGGGCTTTTCAAGGATGTTCAATGTGGATCGTGACAGCACTGCCTCACTCGAAAAAGTCGTTACCCTGCAGGCTGAACTCGCCGAAAATCCGATGCTCAGCGAGCGATTAAGGCGGATTTTCAGCAAGACGCCAAGTTGAGAGAGTTTGTAGGGCACGGCTTAGTTGGACACGTGCGCACATGTCCAACCCTAATTCCGCAGACTTTTCTGTCTGTCTTTGCGCTGCCGCAGCCGTGCTCTAAGGTCCCCCCTCACGGGGAAACTCGGTGGACAGCCCGCCGCGGGAAGACTTCGTAAGCGGGTGCCTACGAGGAGCGCTCCTGGAGCCGGTAGCGCCTGCGGTAGCAAAGCTACGGTCTGAGTGCAGGTGAGGAATATCGCACGGCGCAGGTGGTGAAGGTGCGTTCGGCAGAAGATTCGCGTCTGGTGCGTCCGACACGAGACAAGGTTGCTCCACCACTCACTGGAGTGGACGGTGCCACGCCACGTGACCGTGAGACACAGGCACCGCCTGATGATGAAAGGCCCAGTCAGATGTCGAAAACTCTGCAGGCTGCCGAAATGCGAGCAGGCGTGGATGGACCTCCAGGCACAGCACACCTTAGTTTGCGGCAATCCTGGAGGCAGCCATTCTTCATGTCGTGGGAATGGCCGAGTTTGCAGCAAGGGCTCAATCACCCCAGGCAGTTGAAGCTTCAATCAGGCTTCCTGCCTCCAGAACCGCCACGCAGGCCCAGCAACGGCACCAGCAACTCCAGCAGCATCGCCTCAAGCTGGAGGTTGTTGCCTTGCGCAGAGAACCACCGCCTCTCAACAAGTACTTGCAGGCTTGGTGACACGAGCGGCACCTGCCACGGCTGCGCGAGCCCGGCGAGATGGGGCTGAGATACCAGCATGCAGCCTGCATGATGTAGTGGCAGAAAGCTTCCCGACTCGCTTTCGGTCCGGTTGCACGCCAGGCAGGCCAAGGCATGGGTTGCAGTCTCAGTGGGGATGCAATCTACGAAGAAGCACAAGCTCGTAGATCTTTCTGAGGTGCAGCGGGCCACGAGCGGACACACCACTCCTACCGCTCCGGTGTTGAGGCAAGTGACTGGAGGCGAGCCTGTCGCTTGATGCTGCTTGCCTGGGATGACCTTGGCACAGCCGTGGAAGGCAGAGCTTTCAGCTTTGTGCATTGCATTTGATCAGGAATTCCTGGTGCCCCTGCTCCGACTATGGTCACCCCACAGTTTGGGCAGCATGCGTCGGCGACTTTGTCGGCATCTCGCAGTCCAAAATCACAGAGTTGATGCTCTTGCTCAGGGTCTTTGTGGCCAAGCCGGCCAACACTCCAATCGTGACTGTTGCCGTTAGCTGAGTCCTCGAACGCGGTGTGCCTTCTTTTCCATGGGTTTCCTGTGGTTGATTGGATGCAGGATCGTGTCGACACGCTACCGTACGTTCGGAATTTCACTGCTACTACTTCCTATTGCTCCTACTCGTCTTGCTCCCACAGCGGGCCTATTGCACCCACTGCTACTCCTGCTCCTGCGCCTCCACTACCACCAACCCCACGACGAGAACAGTAGTAGTAGTAGTAGTAGT